CTGTTCAGGGAAACAGACACCAACAGCCTCCATTGTCATTGGGCTTTACGAAGCGTCATCACAATGTCCGTGTTTCTCAATTAGCGAAATCCTGCATCGGCCCATTCGGCCAAGTGACACCTTTCTTTCGGACCACCACTGCATCTATTTCCTTGAGACACTAAATGCAAGTGGGCGATTGAAAGAACAATTTAAAGTGATCCAAAACTTCCCAATCGAGCAGCACCGAAATACTGAGGCAAATATTGCCCTGCCTTACACTGTTGAAATCCTGGTTCAGCTCTTACGGCTAATAGGCAGCAAGAGCATTGATTGGGGGGCATCCTAGCGTTTACTTTTATTATCCCCCCATTTAAATTGAAATAGCACACTCAGCCCAAACATTTTAAGGCGATGCAAGATTCCACGGGCACTTAAAAATAGCCCCCAAAGCTTTATTTTCACGGAGAACCGAGCTAAGCAGGACTCCCCCCCTCAAATCGCTCTTAGGCTCCAAGGGTCCCATGGGTTCCAAAAGTCCTTTTTTGGTCCCTTGGAGCCGAAGATCAAGAGCCCGATTAAAGAGTTCGAAGGGCAGGCCAGAGATCGTATGGAGGGACCACGGCCTGAAGACCGGACCCCAAAATGTAAGAGTAGCTCTTGCATTGATCGGAGAGCAGTGCGACTGTGTCTCTGTTTGAAGTAACTGACTGAGAACAGCCATATTGAACAGTTTGTTCCGTGCTTTTCTGGGGCGTGGGGGCTATTTTCCGAGCAGAGACAAGGCCAAGATCTCTAAATGTCAATTAGAGGGCATCTTTCATTCGTCGGGACACCTGAAACAATGAAGGACCCACATTGCGGGCCAGTGACCACAGTCCCTAGCAGGAGACCATCCGTCGGCAATGAACCCCAGATCGGCCAGGAGCACATTTGCTGAATAGGGACGATGATGGGGCCCCGTATGTCAAAGGACCTATTGTGCTGGTCTGGACCCTCCTGACATTGAAAGGATTCATGAGAAATGACAAAAGGGGGTTCTCATATACAATAAGAGAGTGGAGAGGCCTGTGCCAGCCAGGGGCGGATCTAGCCTGGATTTTTTCTTTTTTTGGTGGGGGGGGGGGGGGGCAACCATTCGTCGCCACCTGGCTGGTGTAGGACACGAGGTCCAGTGCATGGTGCCTTTCGCGAGTACCTAGTAGGGACACCATTCAAAACAAAAACAAAACAAAAAAAAACAACAACAACGCCGAAATGCTTTTGAATTTTAAACAGAAGTTAAAGCAAAACAGTTAAAACAGTTAAAGTTAAAACAGACGGTAAGAAGACGAAACTTTTATGACGTTCTGGGAATGTTTGGGGGGGGGGGGCAAAACATACTCTCAAAGGTTTGGGGGGGGGCATGGCCCCGTGCCCCCCCCCCCCCCCAGGATCCGCCATGGTGCCAGCCAGGGACGCAAGACCCGGCCGAGAGATCCTCTGCATCATTTCAACCAGGAACCGATAAGGCGAATTAGTGTCTCGATACCAATTATTGGACTTCCTGTGCCAGTATAGTCTGTTTGCATCAACGAGGGCCCCTGTGCCGATCCGTTGCTGGATGTCCCAGTTAGAGGGTCAGCCACATCGAGGAGGGAACCCGTTGTGATGCATCCTTCTGAGGGTCTCATGAAGCGTTGAGAAGTGCCGATTTCGATACGTGGTCATTTCCATCCGTCTGTTGAGCGTTGCCAGGTGTTGCTGCAAGGCTCCGCATGCTACAATGGTTTTACAGCACAGTTTTGTTCTGACGTCTCACAGAGCACCTCAAGGAGGGGGCACCAAGGCATCACGTACATCCCGACCACAATACTCTTCTCGCGCGCCGAGCGCTTACACAAAACACTGCAGTTCTATCATCTACGCACAAAACAATACAACTCAACATCCTGGATGCATTACTCATTCATGACCATAAACGACTTCTAAGCAAATAAATGAATCAAACTACTGAATTATCTCTTTGGAACAGGATCACAAATGAATCGATTGGACAAGAAACAAGGCACTGATGAATGGCGCGGGTATTGGGTGATTGGCATGCAGTGCTGTGATTTGCCGAGTTGGTGGTGTTATTCACAATGTGTGGTGCTAATGATGCCTTCTGCACGGCTTAAGAACTGTTTGTTGTTGCCAAGTCAAAACAACAGTGAGTGCTGTCCAGTGAAAAGTTTATTGCTGGTTTGCAAGCTCGTGTTCTGTGCTCTGATTTGAAGTGTTTAAGGTGCCGAAATGAAATGAAGAGCCAGATATATAGAAGAGTCAGTCAGCAGCCATATACCATGCAAGTTCTGCGAGCTTCGTGTGTCTGTCGTCAAAAAAGTATATATATATATATATATGTATATATATATATATATATATATATATATATCTATATATCTCTATATATATATATATAAACACACACACACACACACATATATATATATATATATATATATATATATATATATATATATATATATATATATATATATATGTGTGTATGTTTGTATACATCACTATTAAACGCTTTGTGAGATTCGGGCAAACGCACCGGCTAGAACTAAAACGACACCATATCGGAGTGATCAGAAGCAGTAAACTTCACGGTTACTAAATATCAACACACGCACACTGCGAAAATGCTAGAAGACTGGAGAAGGCCTCTCGCTTTGTGGACTCCCTAGGGTTCAGGGTTCTATCCACCACAAATCCTCGTATTCCAGTCATTGAGTTTTAATATTCTTATGTATGCAGTTTGTATACGGGAGCCTATCTTACCGCATACAGCCCTAGAAAACCAGGCGTGCTTCGTATGCAGATACATGGAGCTTGTTCGTTTTCGTCGGATCATGGTGGATCCTGTCATTTTAAGGCTAAGTACCTCGAAGAAAACATGATAACATGCACTTAAATTGGCTGCTAAATACCATCAAAATCAAGCATAAGCGTGATTCCTGGCATATATACGGTTCGCGGGGTAGTTGATGAGGTCAGCTAATGGCTGAGGACTGATGCAGAATTTTTGCTTTGTCTGCTGCAAAGGAAAACGGAATATCCTATCGTTTGAAATATACTGAAACGTTACATACAAGTACAACAATCGGCACAAATTCAATACAACAACGGAAATAAGATGCACGACGTCGGCGGCGTGTAAAATTATGTTCGACAATGACAAGAACGAATTCATCGACGTAATCGGCATAGCCGCACATTCAGTCATCGGTCGGTAAGAAGAAAAGTCCCAATAAAAATGATTAAGACTTAGGTCCCCACCAATGGCGTAGGCCCTCCTACAATATGGAAAAACTCGAGACTAATAATGACAGCATCTGAGCAATCAAAACTGTCGTGGCAGGCCAACAAAGAGGCTCCAGTGAACAGTAAATGGTCCTCATAACAAACGAGAAGAACCTTACACCAATATGGTGGGACCCCTGAACGATCGGGAGCACCCCGGCAGGCTAACATATAGGATCCGGCCGGAGTACAGGATTCCCTGAACAAAGGGCAATAACCGAAGATCATTGTACATGAACTTACGCCCCTGTGTGATCAAGAGTGCCCGGGCAGGTAAACAGAGAGCGCCTTGACAAGTGAAGTGTAGTGAGGGGCCCTCAGCAAATAAGCTCAAAAAGGGAAAAAGCCATAGGTCAATGAAGAGGGCCCCTGAGCATGGAGTGCCTCGGATCGTTACCTTATATGGAGTCCAGCAATACCACGGGGGCCCTCCAAGCAAGTGGAAAGAACCCGATACCAATGTGAAAGGCCCCTGAGCAACCGAGTGTACACCGGCATTTGGGGCCCAGGCAACAGGGGCGGGGCGGGAGAGCCCGCTTACCCAGCGGGCGCAGCGGTCCCTGCCGAGCCCGCGCTGCCCACCATGCCTCCGGCCGCACCACCGCGTTGCCCGGGCCGGACACGGCCGCCAGGCGTCTAGGTAATTTATAGTAACCCTGTTTGACTGTACGCATCAGGTGATCATCTGTGGAATGCCAGGTTGACTGTGCCATCTGTTGACAAAAGAGGGAAATGGTGGCAAGACTCAAAGATGCTCCTGTAGTGCTACCTAGCGGCAGGAATCCAAACTAGCCAGGTTGCCATGAATACTGGACGTTTTGAACACTGGACTTCACGACTCTGGACTTTGCGACTCTGGACGTTGCGTTCCTGGACCTTGTGAACGCCCCCAATGGACACAGAATTGGACGTTTTCTGGGCTTCATGAACGCTGGATGCTGCGATCCTGGACGACATGAGCACCGGACGCTACGATCCTGGACGTTTTGATGGCTCCCCAACATTAATCACAACGCTTTTGCCACATCATGACTTCGTTGTTATTTCTAAGCGGCAAACACCACACTGTTATTTCCGGAATCTCCTAAACCTTAACTGAGCACTATTTACTTTTACAGCCTGCATCAGTTACGAGTCAAATGAGTCAATGAAAGCACTGCATCTGAACTAAGTCAATGAAAAATAGAACAGGAATGAGTCATGAGCTGGATCAGACCATAAAACCTGAAGCTATTCCTCAGCTAACTTAAGAAATTTAAGCCAATCCCATGCTTAATACAAACCACTACAGCCCGAAAACCATATTCCACCATCCACACTACCCGCAAGACGACATTCCCCAAGGCCTGTCGTCCAGAAGATATCAATATCATACTCATCCCGTAGAAAATGCTATTTTGTGAATTAGGTGGAAGTGCTTCATCGTGCACACCTCCTACCCGCTTGCCCATGCTCCTCACTGACCAACGACCAACCGCGTCCTTGAAGCAACTCGTAATCAAATGAGAATTGGGATGCCAAAATGGCGAAGGCTTTCCACTCCCATAGAACGAAAATAATTCACGAGGAAAAGAATTCATTCAATTCTAGAATAGCTTTATTTCCACTGTTGAGCCCTGGGTTACCAGACTGCGTTGTTTAGTGCTTGTGCGTGCTAAACTCGGCCAGTTTTATCACAAGTCGGTACCAACATGACGTACGACGCATCAGTGTGCATCGCCGCACACTCATGCGTCACATACGCAGACGGGACAGAGGGCGCTAACGGCGTTAACGTACCGCAGGCTGTGTGGATTAAGCACGGGTCCATTCACCTTGGATTGGCTGGACGTTTGCAGGTGGGCGGCTGGTAATGAAGTCGTGTGTGCTTTAGTTTTGTTTTGTCTTAAACTCGGGGCAAGCGAAGGCGTGGAGGAAAAGGGCAGATCTTGTAACGTGTGTGCGGTTAAAGCGTTCACATATTCTTGACATTGTTGCAACCCACGACGCGTGTGACCCATAGAAAATTATTCAGCAATTATCTCTCCGATAATCGTCCACGGGGATTCACCATTTACGTTTGGCAGGTCCGGAAATCATCTTCCAGATACGTCTCCCATACGCGATGCTCCGCCAGCGGGCATAGCTATGCATAGCGAAAACTGATTCTTCATGCTGACCATGCTCAGAAATGTTCCAAGGCTCTCCCTTGGCATATACAATTTCCTGTGGTGATTTTTTAAAGAAAAATAACTGGTCTAACTGCCTGCATTGCTAGTGCTGAGTGCCATTACTGAAAATTTCCTAACATTCCAGGTAATTTTTTAGATTAGCTGCAGGCTGAATGTCCCCTGAGGCTGAGGCCTGAGGCATTTCCTTTTAACAGTGAAAGGATTTAATACATCTGGCATGAAAACTGACACCTATTTTGAGTAAGAATGTTAATAGTCTTGTCTGTGTGCCTCAGTATGATTCATGGGTGTAAATATCTCTGAAATTGGGGTGATGACGAGGCACTGATTACTCTAGCCCCACTAAAATCTTAGGGTTAAGAAGAACCTGCTGTGAAAATGGCATTTTAAATGGAAAAACTGGAGGCACTGGTGTAGTTTCTTATTTTTTGAGGAGTAGGGAACCTCAGCTGCTCCCGAGGCTCTGAGGCTCCAGCTCTCTGCTTTCAGAGAAATAGTACTCACTAGGCAGAAATCTGTTTGCAATTTTACACTCTCACAGTTCACCCATCGGTCCACTTCTGAAACTAAACTGACATTGACTGCTTGACATTCATTTCACCTCCAATATGCAGTGAATATAACCAGCAGTAAAAAGCAAGATTATAATCTATTGGTTGGGAGTCGATTTTTCCTGTACTGATGGAAACAAATTATAAAGGTCTCGGAACTGGCACAATGATTATCTATGCCAACAATGAGCGGGCAATTGGCTTTGTCAGCTACTATTTATGTCACAACAACACTTATACAAAAGTTGAAATATAGATTTACTGTGTTGCCCGCAATAGCGATGCGTGCAACAGTGTCACACTTGCTTATGTTCTTCCTTTACACCTAGGCTAAGTAAACTAGCCTAGATGTAAGCTATGTGAGATCATTTGGCCTGACAACACTGGTGGTGGTTGGCGATTTTGGTTATTGACAGTAGGGGTTTTGGCCTACTTTTCTTTCAGCTTGCATATGTTTGCATATATGCTTGCAAATGTTGTATTTTCTAAGGCTTTTCTGTATGACATGAAACACAGCTTCATAAGTTTTCCAGGATGTTGGCTGGTTATCAAGAACAGTGCTCAGGTTTTCTCAATTTTGTAAAATGAGGTGGTATTGCCCAACAATTTGCATGAGGTGTGCATATTAAATGCAGCCTGGGTAGACTATTGATAGGTGCACTATGGAGGCATTGCCCAATCACCTGCATGGTATGTGCATATTATATTCATTATAAATGGCCATTCATGACACATTTTTGACATTGCTCATAGCCAACTACAACAGCTTGCTCTGTGCTACCCCCTGCCATTGTTGACCGCCAGACCATATGACCCTGGCCTGCAGGTGGCAGCACCAGTCCCGGCAATGTCGCTGAGCAGCTGTCTGGGGGCGGCGCGCCGCGGCCTGGCGCCGGCGCTCTGGCGCCGCCTGCTGTCGACGTCGGCGACGCGGCCAGCCCAGTTTTTTGACTCTCCGGACGAGGCGGTGCGCGATGTGCCGTCCGGGGCGCGCCTGCTGGTGGGCGGCTTCGGCCTGTGCGGCATCCCCGAGACGCTGATCGGTGCCCTGCTGCGCGCTGACGGCCGCGACTACACCGTCGTCAGCAACAACGCCGGCGTCGACAACTTCGGGCTGGGCCTGCTGCTGCAGCAGCGCAAGATCAAGCGCATGATCGCCTCGTACGTGGGCGAGAACGGCGAGTTCGAGCGGCAGTACCTGAGCGGAGAGCTGGAGGTGGAGCTAACGCCGCAGGGTACGCTGGCCGAGCGGATCCGCGCGGGCGGCGCCGGCGTGCCCGCCTTCTTCACGCCCACCGCGTACGGCACGCTCGTGCACGAGGGCGGCGCGCCGATCCGCTACAGCGCCGACGGCGGCGTCGCCGAGCAGAGCCCAACCAAGGAGTCGCGCGTCTTCAACGGGCGCCACTTCATCATGGAGGAGGCCATCACCGGCGACTTCGCGCTGGTCAAGGCGTGGAAGGCCGACCGCGCCGGCAACCTGGTTTTCCGCAAGACGGCGCGCAACTTCAACCCGGCCATGTGCCGCGCGGGCCGCATCACCATCGCCGAGGTGGAGGAGGTGGTCGAGAACGGCACCATCCCTCCGGAGGATGTGCACATCCCCAGCGTGTACGTGCAGCGCGTCGTGTCGGGCGGCACTTACGAGAAGCGCATTGAGCGGCTCACGCTGCGCAAGCGGCGCACCGCCTCGGCCGCCGCGCTGACGCCGGCCGCGCAGATGCGCGAGCGCATCGTGCGTCGCGCGGCACTCGAGTTCCGCGACGGCATGTACGCCAACCTGGGCATCGGCATGCCTATGCTAGCCAGCAACTACATTCCTGCCGGCATGACGGTGCACCTGCAGTCAGAGAACGGCGTGCTGGGACTGGGGCCGTTCCCGGAGGAAGGCCAGCAGGACCCGGACCTCATCAACGCGGGTAAGGAGACAGTCACCGTGCTGCCGGGCGCCAGCTACTTCTCCAGCGACGACAGCTTCGCCATGATCCGCGGCGGCCACATCGACCTCACCATCCTGGGCGGTATGCAGGTGTCGAGCCGCGGCGACCTCGCCAACTGGATGATCCCCGGCAAAATGGTCAAGGGCATGGGCGGAGCCATGGACTTGGTGTCAGCGCACGGCACCAAGGTGGTCGTCACCATGGAGCACGTGGCCAAGGGCGGCCGCCACAAGATCCTGACCAACTGCTCGCTGCCGCTTACCGGCAAGGGGTGCGTCGACATGATCATCACCGACCTGTGTGTGTTTGAGATCGACCCAGAGGAGGGCCTGACGCTCACCGAGCTGGCGGAGGGCACCACCGTCCAGCAGGTGGTCGAGAACACCGGCTGCGAGTTCAAGGTTGCAGACAACCTGAAGCCCATGGGCCAGGTGGAGGTGCCCGAGTGAGGGACTCGAGCGTGCGTCACGTGATGCGGGCTGTTGTGCGGTGCGGGCAGCCGTATCGGGGCCGGCCGACTTGCTGGCGTCGGCGACTCCAGGCGGTGGTTGGAGCCGCGTGTAACTGAGGTGGTGGTCCGGCGGCAGTGCGGTCCTGCGCGCGCCCCGCTGTCGCTGGTAAGTGCAATAGCGAAAGTGAAGCGCGACGCGTGTACCCGTCATGAGAACCTGTTAGTTTGGGGCGCTTCCGTGGCCAGCATAGTTAGGCGGTAATTTAGCCTCGTGTTTCGCATGTAATTTTGTTTTCGTACAATTTCCCGTGAGACCTCGGATGCGTATGACATGCCCTGCATGTGTGCTCCGCTTGATGTGGCATACGTGTCTGAATCTTACGCCAGCCGGAGAAGTGACGGCCGAGATGCAAAGATACCGGCTGTGGACGGCTTCGTAGCGCAGCGTTTTGGCCGCGGGACGGGCTGGAGATTGTTTGCGCGGGCGAGTATCGTTTCGGAAGTTTGAGGTGCCCAAGGAAAGTGGAAGCGACTGATGCGGACAAAAAGACAAGCAGGCAGAACGCCAAGAAGTAAAAGCGAGTTGAATGGTGCTGGTCCTGACATGGTGATATAAGCCGCTTTGTGTTTTGAATGTGTGTCTGATGGAAGTAGGATAACTACATGTGATCGATTTTTAACAAAGTTTTCGCAGCAGCATAAAGTTTTTCAATCAGCTGTCACGTGTGACATATCCGGACTGATCCTGCCCATTTCTGACATCAACCATAGGTCATGCAACAACGGTGACATGGATGAAGCGACAAACTGCGCGTGCGGTGCTCGCAGTGCCGCACGATCCAGGTAACCCGTGCGCGAGGTCCGGCCACAGTACCTGCTGCACGTTGCAGACCCAGCACGTGGCGATGGCCGGTGTCTTACAGCAGCGCGTCTACAACGGAAACGGATGGCATCAGCCAGCCGACGTGCTGTCTCTGTCATAAAGGGACCTACTGTTACGAAGTGTTGTCGGCGCCCGGACCCAGCGCTGAAGTCACACTTGCGGAGCTGGCGCGCAGAACGGCCGCGCCCTGCTCTCAGCTGCATCTCCGCTAAGCTCTGCTCCGCTCCCAGCTGTATCTCCGCCCACGGCTCTGCTCCGCTCTCAACTGCGTCTCCGCTCACAGCTCTGCTCCGCTCTCAGCTGCATCTCCGCTCACGGCTCTGCTCTAATCTTAGCTGCGTCTCCGCTCACGGCTTTACTCCGCTCTCAACTGCGTCTCCACTCAGCTCTGCCTCGCCCTCAGCTGTGTCTCCGCTCACGGCTCTGCTCCGCTCTCAACTGCGCATTCGCTCACAGCTCTGCTCCACTCTCAGCTGCATCTCCGCTTACAGCTCTATTCGGCTCTCAGCTGCGTCTTCGCTCACAGCTCTACTCCGCTCTCAGCTGCGTCTCCGTCCACAGCTCTGCTCTAATCTCAGCTGCGTCTCCGCTCACAGTTCTACTCCGCTCTCGGCTGTCTCCGCTCACAGCTCTACTCCGCTCTCGGCTGCGTCTCCGCCCGGCCGCAGTTCGGGACGCGACAGCGCCGTCGCGCAATGCCCCGTCGGCAATGCGACGATGTCATCGTGTTTTCAGAAAACCTCGGAAAAGACATGGCATCAGTTGGACGGTGATGTTCTATTAACATTGACAGTAAGTCCGTTACTGCGCATGCACAAACACCGAGACGTAATTGTAAAATTGTTCTGCCTACGTCATCAGTCGATCAGTCCATACCACAAAACCTGGCCTCGCGTGGTCTGCACCTGCATTCCGCTCCAACTTATGCAGTCATCCCACCATCAGGGAAAAAGCCCGCACATGACGACACTCGTCGCGCGCGGAGCACCCAGGCGAACGAAATGGAATGTTGGCCATGCAATACGGTTAAAAAAACAAGCGACGGCAAATGTGAATCCTGGGGCGCTGATACTGCCTGCCTGTGAGAAACAAGACGGCCCCAGGCGCGTGGCGCTCTGATTGGCCGAGCCCTGGACCAACCATTCGCGCAGGCTAGCCGACGACGCGTGACACCGGCTCTGGCTGAAACACTACATCCTCAGCGGGCCCGTCATCAACAAAACAATCCCGCTCTCCCTGACCTGTGACCTGCACGTTTACAAACACACCACGACGGTTAGGTTACGCGGACCCTGCGACGCGGGTCTGCCAGACCTCGCACATCGAAGCACGACGCCAACATCGCCATATCACATATTCGGAAGGCCACCTGGCGGCGGCGGGCGGCGGGCTATCATGGGGACGTCAGACAGCCGTCGGCTCCGTGACGTCACGCTGCCGGCGGCGCGCAGCCCGACGGCTCCCGCCAGGTGGCCAGCGACCTCGGCAGACCTCGGTCGCGTCACGTGGCGTCACTCTCCGGGTCCAGGTTGTTGCGCAGGCGCCAGAGACCGACCGAATTGTCGCTGTCGGGGCGCATGGGGGTCAGCCAAACACAACCAAATGAAACCGAGACCAAGGCTGCTGTGAGCGTCTGCAAAACGAAAACGTGACAAAAAGACAGAGGAACAAATCAAAAGGACATGTCAACGGCGGTTTGCCGTTCGCATTCAACGCTACACCAACCGTGAGAGAGGAGGCACAGGCGAGACAACGACTTGAAGCAGAAGAAAGACCATGCAAACAGAAGAGCGGGGAATTATCGGGATGGACCGTGTGCTGCATCGGTTAAAGCCGCGGCTAGAGCACAGGAGCTACACTTCGTGCTTCTCGGCACCGCATGCAAACGGTAGAAGTTGTGTCCAGAAAGGAAAGTTCTAGCATTTTTTATCATCCCTAATGGTGAAACAAAACGAGCGAGACACTGGAGCTGTCCCGAGACCGCCTACTAAGCGACGGATCATATTAGTTCAGGGTCATGCTCAGCCCCAAGAAGAGAGCGAAAGGACCTGGCATGTGACAGGAAAGAAACCGACATGTCAAATTGATGATGTCAGCAGGAGCATACCATGCAAAGCGAGCTTAACCGTTCGTGGTTTGATATCGCCGAAGTGAAGCGGGCTGATTATCATAAGTGTTGGTAATCGGCATCGGCAGAGGCTAACTGACTGCATTATATGGTCCAGGATTGACGCGAAGCGCGCGACTGCTTATAGTATTTTTTCGGAGCGAATACACTGACGCGTGCCAGGCAGGCGCATCTACCGCGCCGAGAAGATGCCAGCTCCCATCAGCGCGCGCTTCGCTGTGTGCGGGCTTGCACCACAAGTTCACGTTGCCGCCACCAGATGGCAAGACCAGCCCTAGAGCGCCAGGGAGAAGACCCGCCCCGTGGATTGCGTCATGGCTGGGTTCAGGTGAGCCGGCAGCCCCGAGCCGGGGAACTTCCACAGCTTTATGTCGCCGCAGCTGTGGACCGGGCCGTGCTGTTAGTGGGACCACACTATCCAAAGCCGCTGACCAACACGCCGACCGGCGGGACATCAGCACAGATTCAGATCATTACAAAACGTTTTCCTTGGCGGGTGGGTCCTTTGTAATGCCGTTATGTCATCAGGGGGCAGCACAACTGAAACAGCTGTTACATTGCCAAATATTTACGCATGGAAGCGTGCCCATGTGCGCCAAAACGTTCCAAAACAGGGCAAATGACTCCTTATTTTCGCTGGAATGATCGAGTCATCGCTGAAACCCACAAGCTGTACTTCCATGAACACATGCTTGGATAACACCAATGGTGGTAAAGAGTGGCATTGTCACTGAAGCCTCAGTGGTAAGATCGGCCACCTTGCCGAGTTTTCTCAAGCATCACTGAATCGCCAAAAGACACCGTAAGATTCATTCACCAATAACGCGGTTCTTTCACCCCCAGGATCCAGTACTCACAAGGGAAGGTCTGCCCCCCCCCCCCCCCACCGCAGTCACCCGGTCCCAAACCTCACCAGCTAACACAGTCTCAGGCGGCGAAGCTCCTATCCCGCATACCCCTTCCCTACTACCCACTTGGAGGCGGTGAAGACGTGCGTCTGGTTGGTGGTGATGGCGTTGATCTGGCTGGTGTGCGCGCGCAACTCGCCCAGGCTCTGGCACGTCTCCACGCCCCAGAGCTTGACGGTGCCGTTGCGACAGCCGGAGAGGAGCGCCTGGCCGCCGGGCGCCAGGCTCAGGCCGCAGATCCAGTCCCGATGCGCGTTGCTCACGCTCTGGGGATGAAGGGTGAAGAAGGTCGGTGGGAAGCCACGGACCGCCGCCGTACACCGCTGGCCGTCGCATGGTCGCCATGGCGGGGACATATGTGATAGGCGTGACGAGAGCCCCTGCTGGCTGGTGGGGCCCGCGTATCGCCATCTATTTCGTCATAGCGCAACTAATGTACACATAACGTAATGTTCAATGAGTCCAGCCAACTTTATGCTGGTGTAGGCGCCTTTTCGCCGACAATGGGAAATCAGTAGTCAATAAACGTAGAACGACAAACCTGGTCGGCACATGAGGTCAAGTTCTAATAAATGTACCAAATGTGTTCGTCTATCCTTTGCACCACCTTTCGCTCATTTTGAAACCCACCACAAACCAGGCGGGAAAGAAGGGAACAATCGAGAAGAAGCCCCTTCGAACGTCTTCTCGATTGTCCCGGCAATGCCTTCCATTCCTAAATGACACAGAATCCCAAGCCCCAGTTCGATGGTCATGCGCCTATCGGCCGTATATATAGGGTATTTTAAAAGAACGCAAAAGCCTGCGTACACCGCCACCAGCCGACTCTTTCTGCCGCCACGTGACGTCACATCAAGACGTGACTTGGCCGCGGCGTGAGTCACTGACCTGGAGCAGCGTCTGCCGCTGCAAGTCCCATTTCTTGATGCAGGCGTCCCGCGAGCCGGAGAAGAGCGTGTCGCCGGCGGCCACCAGGCACTGGATGCCATCGTAGTGCGGCGGCTCCAGGCTTAGACACTGTTGCACGATGCCGTTGGTGTCGTCAGGCACTTCGAAGCCCTTGATGTAGTGGTCCTTGGAGCCGGTGAGCACGAGGTCGTGGCCGCGCCGTCGGTCCACCGCCAGACACATGATGGCCGCCTGGTGGCCGCCGCTCAAGTTTGCCCACACTGTGGAACCTGGCCACGAGCGGTAGGAGGACAGGGTGAGACAGCGGTCACCGGCAATGGCGACGGTCAGGCCACGGCGTGGCCGCTGCTGACCAGCCACATAGAGTGACATCGCTGGCGGTGCTGGACATGACCTGGCAGTGCAATTATATTTAAATGTGTGTGATGTTAAGCACATTGGTGCTTCAAATGTTTTTGTGACGGGAACAAACCACTTTTATAAAACAATCATCAAACTGCTAACCGCTACGCGTAGCATTGGTGGTTGCAGGCACAACCAGCATCTTGTACAGACATTAAAAAGCTCCGCCCTTGTAGACTGCTATGCTGCACCCCAGCCGACTACGGGCCCGAGGGCGCCAGCCGACTGCGGGCCCGAGAGCCCTTGCCGGCTCGGGACACGAGAACCCTAGCGTGGCGGCCTGGGCGCTCTGACTGGGAGTGCCACGCCGCCGCGTCGCCGCCGGAGTCGCGCGAGCTTGCTCGCGCAGGTCCCAGATGGTCCCACTCCCGTTCACTCGCGTAGGTCCCAGATGGTCCCACTCCCGCTCACTCGCACAGCTCCAGATGGTCCCACTCCCGTTCACTCGCGTAGGTCCCAGATGGTCCCACTCCCGCTCACTCGCACAGCTCCAGATGGTCTCACTCCCACTCACTTGCGCAGGTCCCAGATGGTCCCACTCCCACTCACTTACGCAGGTCCCAGATGGTCCCACTCCCGATAACTCGCGTAGGTCCCAGATGGTCCCACTCCCACTCACTTGCGCAGGTCCCAGATGGTCCCACTCCCACTCACTTGCGCAGGTCCCAGATGGTCCCACTCCCACTCACTTGCGCAGGTCCCAGATGGTCCCACTCCCACTCACTTACGCAGGTCCCAGATGGTCCCACTCCCGCTCACTCGCGTAGGTCCCAGATGGTCCCACTCCCACTCACTTGCGCAGGTCCCAGATGCGGACCGTGTTGTGCGCGGCCGTGTACAGCGCCCGGTCCGTGCCGCCCAGGCAGACATCATTGATCTGCGTCTCCCCCGGCGGCACCTGCAGCGTCCGCGATGGCGTCGACAGCGGCACCGATGATGACGTCAGGCCCGATGAGCTGCGCACCGGATCACGTCACGGGGTGTTACAAGATTTTGTCGTCTGACACGAAGTGCTGCGCACCAGTCGTGACAAACAGAACGTGACGTGAGGACGTCACGCCTGACAAACTGCGCACCAGTGACGTCACAACGCGTCGCAGGGGATGTCTGACGAGAAGTGAATCGGCAGCATCCAGTTCCAGACAGCGCGAACGAGCTGTGATCAGCTGATATGCGCGCGCCGAGCAATGGCCAACGTGAAAAAGCTATCTACCTGTCGCAACTGAACGGATTTCAGAGCTGAATATCAAGGAGGCCAGCGCTGTCACCAACCGATCTTCTGTCTTGCCAAGAAACATTTCATATCGTGGTTTTCGTAACGTTATCGCTGCGGGAGACGGCTGCGAGGATGACGGCTGCTGCACACTGACCTGAGCGTCTTGACGCATCTGGCCGGCGACTCGCGCAGGTCCCAGACCTTGACGAAGGCGGACGACACGCTGAACACCAGTTGGGTCATCTCCGAGTAGCGCACGCACACCACGTTGTTGGGGTGGCCGGCCAGAGACTGCAGCTGACAGCCCGTGCCCAGGTCCCACACCTTCACCGTGCGGTCTGAAACGGTCACAATGTCGCAGGGCGGTCATGACGAGGCGCCCTCGGCCCGCATCTTTGTCGTACAGTCTGCAATGAACAAACCGTCACGGGCAGAGTCGGTGCGTTATCACTAAGTTCGCAGTGTGGTATGGAACGGACTCCATGCCAAAGGTGAATTCGTGCAATATCACTAAGTTCACAGTGCGATATGGAACGGACACGATATCAGAGGTGGAATCTGTGCATTATCACTAAATTCGCAGTGTGGTATGGCATGACACGATGTCAGAGGTAGCACCTGGCCGGGCTCCGCAGATCTCACAAGTTCAGCGTGCCGCCTACTGTGAGCCTCTGTAGTGTTGTCACGCGTGCTTTGCGAAACAAGCTGTCAACCAACAGTGCTCAGCCACTCCACTGTCGTGTCCACAAAGAAAGCTCTCGATTCCTGGTCGTCGGAGTCCCAAACGCGGCGCCGGTCCAAGCCCAATTGCCATCCACGGCGTCCTTGTCCATTTCGGACACCGCACATTCCTTACACGAGGCATACTTGTTTCAAGCTAGAGGGTAGCCAGGGACCGCGCTCCAACTAGCTCCAGGTCTAGAACATCACAAGCCCCAATCATCCTCAACCCCCACGCCTGCCAATCAGCGACCACCGCCGCACAAGCCGTCGCTCATCGAGCCGGCCCGTTACCGCGGCTGCCGGCGAGGATGACCTGGAAACGCACGTCAGTCCACCCGCTCCTCTTCCCCACCCCACCCTCACCTTCTGAGGGCGATCCCTCGTCGGAGGACCTATCATCCCTCACCCTTGGAGCCGGAGAAGAGCCGATCATTGGTGGCGCACACAGAGAGCACAGCCTTGGTGTGACCCTCAGCCACGTGTGTGCAGATGAGAGGCGCGCGGCCGGCGCGGCCCTGGTACGGCGTGATCACGCCTGCGTCCGGCTGCTCCTCCTGCTGGCCGGCCGTCGACGACGTCAGCCGGCTGAAGACGTTCTCCTCGCGCGACGTCTGGCGCCGGTAGGAGGCCGGCGAGCCGGGCGGCGTCACGTCCTGCAGGCTCTCCACGCTGTCGGCACGGCGGAGCGGCCGTCACCTCAGGAGAGCACGCAGATGAGGGAGCACGCCCAGCCGCACAGAAGAGCCGACGGAGCACGTCCAGCCACACAGAGAGCGGGGGGGGGGGGGGCAGGGGCACACCCAGTGGTACGGGGAGCGGGGGAGCACGTCCAGCCACCTGAGGAGCGGGGGGAGCACGTCCAGCCACCTGAGGAGCGGGGGGGGGGGGGCAGGGGCACACCCAGTGGTACGGGGAGCGGGGGAGCACGTCCAGCCACACAGAGAGCGGGGGGGGGGGGCAGGGGCACACCCAGTGGTACGGGGAGCGGGGGAGCACGCCCAGCCACCTGAGGAGCGGGGGGAGCACGTCCAGCGACATAGGGGTAGCGGGTGGAGCACGCAGGGCCACACAGGGAAGCGGGGGGGGGGGGGGGGGGGAGCGTCGCCGGCGGCACGGGGAGCACAGGAAGCACCGCTGGCGGCAACAGGAGCACCTCAACAGTCGTGTGGGGAGTGGAGGGAAAGGGTTGCATAGGGATCAGGGTATTCTTCTCACGGGGGCAGTCCCTCTGTGAGAGGATCCGTGCAACTAGATCGCTCGTAGAGAAGAAACAAGTCAGGACATTCTGGTGATGATGGGAAAATAAAAGGATACATGCGTTGATGCTCTATTATGTTTTGTTAACAGCTTTCAGCATGCGCTGTTAAGGCTGGCATGGCCAATGGCGCGTCTCCAAGGCTTGTTGGCCGATAGAACAAGCGAAATAGGTAGGAAGCTTATAGGATTGCAGTTTGGACTTAACGATCCAGCGGCTAAGTGTGACAAACTGTGTCAGCACAATTCCAGAGTCAAACAAATTGTCCAAATCTGACATTTTAATTGTGAAACAACGCGCAAGACATCCGAGATTATCGATTGCAAATAGAACGGAGCAGTTGCCGACGCCCATGACTCATTTCAAGGACGGATCCGCAAATACACATGACAGTCTTATACTTATCGTCACACGATGAGTCCATTGCTGCGCTAACCTGGTAAACTGCAGACTTCTCGACATCCTTTGGGACAGCGAGAAAGAAAGAGAACACGGTGCGAGGGAGAGAGAGATATATATACATACGCTGTTATTGGGCTGAGTTCATCAAGGCAGCAACAGAAAGCACCTCGCTTACCGAGAGGGAAATATAGTTTAGGCACGGAGCGCGGTTCAAAATTACCGCGTGGATGTAACATGTGACATATCTCTACTCGCATAAAGCACGACAGCACCTTGAATAACCTACGGTACCCCCAACCAATGAGGTGCCAATCGACCAGCCGGCTGATTAGTGTGGATCACGGCAGGGTACTCACGTGCGCAGGTTGTTGTTAGTAATGTTATGGTTTCGGCGAGCCAAGCGCGGTGAGAGAGCCTCCTTGTAGGAGCTGCGCCGGGACGGCAGCGGCGAGGGTCGAGGGTCACTCCGGCCGGCTCCCGGCCTGCCAGCGGTCCACACGCGGCTGCACAGCGCCGTCGCACAGAGCGGGACCGAACGTCTGCGGCCGGCCACGTCACGTGCCCGGACAGGCCACAGCACCAGCGCACGTCAGGTACCCGGGCGCGAACGGACGGCCACGCCAGACACTGAACAGCCAAGAGAAGCGGCATCAGACGCACGGACAGACACGGACAATCACCCCAACACGCGGACAGTCAGCGGCAGCCAGATCGGGCGCCCGGGAAAACAGGCAACAGCCACGTCAAGCACCCGAACAGGCGGCGGCAGCCACGCTCGGTACCCGAACACAGACGGCAAACCATACCAGGCAGCGTGCGGACAGTTGGCGGCAGCAGGCCCGTCTGGCGCTCAAACTGATGTGGACAGCCACGTCCTTCAGGCAAACACGCAGACAAACTAGTTCGTCGTCAAACCACAGCATAATGATAAAGTCCGGTCCAAATGAAGTGCAACCAATAGTCAGTTGCATCAGACCCCCAGGCCAGCACAGACAGGGCTTGATAGCCATGCATCCCAGAACGTGGAGAAGTCTATGCAATACCGTTTTCCGTACATGACCAGACCTATCTCCGTGGGATATATCTCAGTGGGATCCAAGAGACCCTCGGCCGTCATAACGGACAGGAGGCGGGCTTAAACAAGGACAGCAGAACTTTTCGTTGTGCGGCATCGTCAGAAATGAACAGGTCTGAGCACATTTTTACTTTCTTTTCTTTATCATCCTTTTCAAATTTAAACTCACGCAAATCAGTAAAGATAGGATTAATTACAGACAAACTCCACGCAAACATACGGACACACATATACCTCCACGCTCAACAGACACATAACATCCGACAGACACATACGTCATCACTGGAGAAGCGTTAAAATGCGTGCCGCGAACTCGCTTCAATTCATGTAAGTCCACACGTCCACACGCCCGCCTCACAGCGAACGCAGCCAATCAGTAAGCAAGCTGTCAACACCGACGCATAGCATCAAACGAAACTCAGCCTTGGCCCAGCCTTGGCCCGCCGCGGCCGCGTAGCCTGCGGCGCCGTACCTGGACTGGCCGGAGGGCGCGATGACGTGGCTCAGCGAGCGTGAGAGCGGCACCAGCGACGTGGGCCGGTCGGCGTCGGCCCGCTCCAACTCCTCCCGCACGATGCTCGGCACCCGGTCGGCGCCCGACGCCGCGCCGTTGGCGAACAGCAGGTCATGCGTGGTGGTGGTCTTGCGGCGCGCCTTGTCGCGCGCGGCGGCGGCGGCGGCGGCGGTGCGCGCCGGCGCCGGTGGCTCGCCGTCCGATTCCGAGTCGTCGCTGTCGGCGGCAGGCGCGGCGCCGGCCTCGGCGATCAGCGAGAGCACGGCCGGGTCCAGGCCGCCCTCCTCGGTCATCAGGTGCTGCAGCAGCTGCTGCTGCACGCTGCTGTTCTGTACGATCTGCAGACGGCCGTGACGACAGGTCAGGTCGGGTCAACCGCGACCGTGGTCACGTGGGCAGTAGTGTCTTAATGCAGGTGCGACAACTTAAGTAATACTTAAATGGTATAAGTACCACATCCAAATGCAGGACGTAAGAACACCGTCGGCCACAGTAACGACAAATACAGGCTGTGTGCGGCCCGGATAATCAAGAGAGCTTATCTAAATCATAAGGAGCCACACACGTTCAGATGCATAAATTTCCTGGCTTGTCGACAACCTGAAAGAAGAAACAAAACCACATGATAGTATAAAGCGGTATCACCGAAATAAATACCCACAGACCATCTCACAAACAACATATACCCACAGACCATCTCACAAACAACATATACCCACAGACCATCTCACAAACAACATATACCCACAGACCATCTCACAAACAACATATACCCACACACCAGCGAGCGAGACAGCTGAATGGCAGAGCCGCGAGCAGAGTGGGGGAGAGGGGGTGGGTGGGTACGCACCTGGTCCATCTTGACAAGCGTCTCGCGCGCCTCGGACTGGTGTTGGGCGGCCACGCAGCTCTGGTGCACCGTCATCATCAGCAGTTTCTCCAGCAGATACTCCATCTCCTCCGGCCGGAGATCGCGGATCAGCAGGGACGGCTCCTGCACCGGCAGGTCCTCCTGCAGAGGCACAAATACGCACACGCACATACGTCAGGCACAAACACAGTACGGACACAAACAACCGCACACGTGACGTCAAGTATTCAAGTGTATACCAAGACGCCCACGTGCAGCTTACGTAGGACTTGTTCGTTACTGCTGCCTCGCATGATGTACGCAATCAGAGCTGTCGACGGGGCTCTGGCTTAATAACTCTGATGGCTGGTCAGGAAGTGGGAAGCAGTGCGTTTATGTCGTATCTGGATGTGCACTATCAGAGCATAGTGATATACACAAAGAAAGAGCTCTTCCTGAATGGCTGTAACAGCCACAGAATCAATCCTTTTTAATTTTCATGCGACTGCCAAAAGGCGTGACTTCCGACAGCAGGCTTGCCGCCACAACTCGCCCACCTTCGACTCCTCCATGGCCATGATGCTGGCTTGGCACTCGTTTATGTTGTCGTTGATATAGTCCATGTTGGCGCGGATGCCGTCCATGGTGTCGTCGAGCTCCTGGAGGCGCGCCGGGGACCAGCCGGACAGCGCGCCGCGGTCGCGCTGGCGCACGGCGTGCGCCAGACGACGGCGCAGACAGTCGCGGTCCTTCAGGTGTCTGCCAGACACGGACGGCTGATTCAGATTCGGACTCAGTGACGGACGCCAGACCCGACAGCAACGCCATGAGTCGGGCACGAGACTCGCGCCTGAGAGGCGACCGTCGTGTCACATCGCCACACGGCTCTCCAGCATAACGCGGCGAGTACGCCGACTCCAGGGAAGCGTCTGCATGCTACATATGCTGTTCGCTCTCCGATTGACGAGTTTGCGTCGTCGTTATCCGAGGTGTGAGGTCTCCGGCTGGTGAGCATGGTCACAATGCTAAGTTGCCTCACCTCTCCATCTCTCTCTCCATGCTGGCCACCGTCTGCTTGTTGAGGGCCAGTTGAGTGATGGATTTCTCCAGCGCCTGCCATTTCTTCTTGAAGGCGGTGGCAGAGGCCGCCCTCTTTGCACCACCTGAGTAAAAACAAAACAAAATATGCACCAATAGTGACGGAATCGGACCAGGATCCCGCACCAAACCAATCACACCCAGCCACCGGACACCAGGACTTAACTGCACTCGGCGGGCCGAGCCCAGGAGGCCACAGACCGGTGAGATTGACACCGATCGGCCCTCACGGCCGCCCTGACCCGAGCCCCTCCCCCCCCCTCCAGGCCTATCCCACATCAGGGAGCGGGTATGGCGGCGCGCACCTTTCTGCCGGAGGCCGCCACCCCGCTGAGCGCGCCCCACCCGGCGCAGGGCCGCGATCTCCTCCTGCTTCCGCTTCAGCACGGCGTCCTTGACGCGCTTCTCGGCTTGCAGCGACTTGATCTGGGGAGACGGGCAGCAGCGGACGGTCAGCACACACCAGGTCGGAGCATGGCCGAGACGAGGGAGCGGCGCAGGCAAACGTGGAGGGGAGTGAGCTTTCGAAAAGCACGCCACATCCGTCGCGTGGCTGACGACTGAATAGGAAAATGCTTGAAGAGACCACTGGTTTAACCCCCGCGCGTGCGTGGTGGAGAGCGCGATGGAGCGGCCGACTGGTGACTCGCCTGGTTCTCGTGCTTCCTGTGCTCCTTGCGCAGCTGCGACACGGCGCGGTGGTGCTGCAGACCCATCTGCTTCATCTTGTTGGCGTCTTCCTTCATCTTCTGCATAAGCTTCACCTGAAAGCCAAGGGGTTGCAGGCTCAGCGGCGATGATGATGGAAATGCCTGTGTTTTAAACGTCCAATGGCGTTTTTTACACTCAATATTCGCTTCACGCGAAAGCTATCACATTCAGAGCCGACCAAGAGCCAAAATGTTCGAGAACAATAGCACGAAAAGCAAACATCAAAGACAACTACCGCACTTTCAGGCGTCGTCGTTGTCGCCGAGAATCCATCTATCTACATTCCAGGACAACAGCGAGGTCCCCATATTACCTCACAAACATTCTTACCTTGGTTTTCTTCATGTCAAGGACCTCGGTCTTGAGCGTCTTCACCTGCCGCTCGTACTGACCCTGGGAGCGCACCAGCTTGGCATGCTCCCGCTTGGCCGCCTGCAGCTTCTTCAGGTCGTTGCCCATGTTTGCCAGCTTGCGCTCGTAATCGTCCTTGACCTTGCGCACCTCGTCCTTGGAGGTGGTGGAGCGCTGGCCTGCGGGCGCGAGTTGGGCCGGGTCACCAAGCATCGGGGGGGGGGGGGGGGGGGGTCACACGACGCTAAGCCGTGTTGCAGTATTCAGCCCGCTGCCAAACTAGCACATTTCTGGAGACTTCACGCCTAGACGTGCTTACTCATCAGGGCTGAACACAACACTGGACTGAGCGATGAGCTGCCCTTACAAAATGGTTTAGCTGCCATCACATTGCCCACAAAAGCTAAAAGTGAGCAGTAAAAACCGGCTGGCGAGCACTCGCCATACTAACCTACTGTGCTGGGTGCCAGCACACCGTCCCGCGCGCCTGCTTCGCCTCCAGCCGAGCGTGGCCGCGGTCCTGCCGCCGCGAGCCCGACTCACTGATGTTGGCGATGACTTTGTCGCGCTCCTGCTCCGTAGCCCGGATCCGGCTGCTCAGCTGCAGCAGCTTCTCCTCGTAGTGCTGGCGCATGGTCTCCATGCGCCGCTGAGAGCGCTCCAGCTCGTCGATCAGCCGCTGCTTGACGCTGATGTCGGACGTCAGCTCGGCCAGCTGCTCGTTGTAGTCGGAGCTCTCTGACCACGTGGGGAGGAGGCGTGAGGGCGATTCGGGCTTGTGGCGGTGCAGCTGGCCGGCACTTCACAGACGACCGTATTTAACAGTCGAGTGATGCTAAGGGCCTCTCAAAAAACGCTCTTGTACGATAAGCCCGCAGTTCAGTTTAGCTGCAGACGCCTGGGCTGCTGGCGCTTACATCCACTATCAAAGTGCATGCACTCAAGCGTCTGCTGCAGGAAGATCAGCCCCGGGGCGGCGTCGGGAAAGCTCAAACGGAAACACGACGACAAGCATAAGTGCGGGGCAGCATTCAGTACGGACTTGATCGCATGCTTACAAAACACGGCTGTTGTCCAGCGATGCACGAAGACCATCATGCATAATAGGGACTGCCAGCGACTCCCGACCGAGTGAGGGGGACGTGTGGCGACCGAAACAGCGTGAAGTGGGCGCCACACATCAGTGAAGGCATACAACTAAGTGAAATGACGTAAGTTGTTCAGTGCATTAGCGGGGAACATTATTCACATAGATAATACGGTAGTGCTAGCCTTATTACTTGGAGAAAAGCCAGGAGAATCGAAATATAGTTGGGTTATCTCCATTCTCCTGGTTCTACTCCAAGGAATAAGGCTAATACTGCTACCTTAACCACATGAAATACCTGGATCATAATTACCTTTTCCTTCACTTTCCAACTCATCAGTGGAGTCTTCGTTGTCTGACTCATCGTTATCAGACTCTGCAAAAGCAGGCCAGCATTAAGACGTCATTTTGGTGGCAGGCTCACAAGCTACATGCGCGTGTGCGGCACGGCAGGCGTGGAGAATCTGGTTGGCTCGGCGTAATGGGTCTTGAAGGTGCTGCTCACTTGTCTTTGTGCAGCTACAGGTTTATGAGACTGATTTCGAGGTTGCCATGCAGATGCCTACAAGATCTTATTATCAGATTTTGGCACACATCGTATAGTGATGATCTGACTCGTAAGTCTCGCAGTACCGACACCGTCCAATCGACTCATCGAAGCGTTTCGAAACGATGCCAATGCGGGATCACGACAACGCATCGGAGGAACACACTGGAACGAATGTGATGCGCTGCCGTCCTTCCAAATCCAATCACAGCCATGATTCATAGCGCTTGGCAAAAGCCAAAATCCACCTCGCTCAACTCTACCGCTTCACACCATGACACTGCACCTCTCAGTTCTTGTCAGCATCACCCCAGCTCCCATCCTACTCAGCTCAATGTTCACCGTTTTTGTAATTATTGGCACCAGACCCATTCAGTACCGCACCAGATAGCTATTACACTTTACCCACTCACTGACCTCTCGCCCACTTTACTCAACAGTGGCATCAGTCCCTCCCCATCCTCACTACTCACTTCTTGTGGCATCATAAGCACAAGCCGTGTCTCCCGTCCTTCTGATCTTTTACTCCCCATTACCGACGTTATTTTCCTCATTCTCGTCATCAATGGCTTCAGGCTTTCCCCCGCTAGCTCTCTCCTGTTCCTTCGTGTCGCCACTGTTTCTGCCTCGCCCTCCTACCCTGCCGCTCCCTTACCCCAATTCTCTTGCCCCAGCACTTTCCCATCTCCGGTATCCTGCCCTACCGCTCCCTCACCCCCGCTCTCCTGCCCCACCGCTCCCTCACCCTTCTCATCCCCGCTGCGGCTGCTCTCGCTGCGCAGGTCGTCGGTTGGGCCATCGCCGCTGCTGGAGCGGCGCAGGCGGCCGCGCCGCTCCTCCAGCTCGCGCTCCACGTCGCGGCGCGCCTCCTCCAGCAGGCCGCGCACGCCCTCCGAGTCGGTCGGCGGCAGCGCGGGGAGCGCTGCGCGCCGCCCAGGCGACGTTAGCGACCAGGCGAATGAAGGACGGTGTGGCGTAGCGAGCCGATAACCATCCACAGCTGGAGTGCTTAAACACAGCCTTCCTTGTGGGGATGACTAGCTGGCAGTACACGTGGGGTTTTAACTGTTGTTACTAAACAGGGACATTCATTCCAGCTCAAGAGCATTCCGCAACATGAATGCCTCATACCATTAACAGCTTACCGTGGTTGGCTCTCCGACCAGCAGACGTACTGGGTGGGTTCCAGGATCCCACGTGGTCAATCAGAAAGGGCGGAGGCAACGTGCTCGGACGGATAGGACGGAGGCTCCGTGCGATTGGTTGCAATATAAACGTCCAGAACTTGCTGCGAAACGCACGGAGAACCAGTTGCCTGATGTGTCAGGCGTAAGAACAGGACAGACGTTACCACCGCATTGGACAACCACCTAACATTCCGGGTGCTAGAAGGATCTGGCAAATTGCAATATCAAATATATGCAGTTGCTATGCAGGATTAAGAAATATCGTGAAGCGAAAGACATCCTTGTGTACAACGTTGTACTCATCGCTACGATGAAGCTGCTTTTTTGTCGAAACGCTTAAACATCTAGATATCCGAGAAACGCTCCCGTGTAGGGCGTGGCGTAGTGTGGCACTGACCTGACGCAGGCAGGTGGAGACTCTGACCCGGCCGGGACGCCGCTCTGCTGGTCGCCTGTCTTCGCAGCTGTTGGCACACGTTCTCAGCCTCCATCAGACGGGCGCGCAACTCCTCGATTTCGCGGAGGTACTGTGCCACCACCTGAGTGACGTCACTGTCCGCGTCTGACGGCACACGGACGGAAGACACTCAGCGCGTAGGCCAGCCGCAGCACACGGTACTAAGCCACCACCTGAGTGACGTCACTGTCCCCGTCTGACGACACACGGACGGAATACAGTCAGCGCGTAGGCCAGCCGCAGCACACGGTACTGTGCCACCACCTGAGTGACGTCACTGTCCCCGTCTGACGATGTGCGGACAGAAGACAGTCAGTGCGCAGGCCAGCCGCAGCACACGGTACTGTGCCACCACCTGAGTGACGTCATTGTCCCCGTTTGACAACGCACGAACGGAAGACAGTCAATGCGTGGGTCAGCCGCAGCAGATGAACCATCAGGCAGGTCTGGCTGCCAGACACAACTGTTGTCACGCAACAGACGACGGTGTCTTTGTTTATCAAAAAGTCGGAAGACTTGACACGATGGGTAAACTTCAGGGGCGCTGCCAAGACACGGGGCTCGCCCTCCCCCGCCCCTCCATAAGCCCAGATTGTTTGTCTTTCATCATCATAGGACTGCCGAAAGGACGTCAAGAACTAGCGTGATGCGTGCCAGCCGAACTCCAGGCTCCTCCCTCAAGAAAATCCTGGTTGCGCCCCTGGTAAACTTCTCCGGGACTTCTAACGCCATCTGGCCCTGGGCAGATGGCTGTAGGTGGCACACAGTCTGGCTCGCCCCTTCAGTGGGTGTTAATCCGACACCAGGATAGCAATTCTATTCACGTCAAACAGCACAGGCCGTGAAGCAAGGCCGTGAAGGAGCAGCGCAGCAGCAGCGCAGGCTTGTGACTCGCCCGCTCACCAACTGCTCATAGGCGCGCACTCGCAATGTCGTGGGTGAGTCATGTTATATCATATCTTCTATACCCGTCAAATCGACGATCTGACTTGAAAACGAGCCAAGCACCATAATAGCTGGCTCGAAATAAAAATATGGTCTAAAGTTCGTCACGTCAAGCACATGTTACCCAGCTCAGAATTTCCAAACAGCTACTGTCAAAAAGCATACGTTTTTTTCAACAGCGACTTTGCCCGCAGCGTCCTGATACGCGGTTGTAAAGGCTGTAGCGGTCGTAAAGGCTGTACAAACGGCCGGAACAGTGGCCTCTTTCATTTCCCGGAAAGTCAAACATTCATGGCTTTTAGCGTGGCAACGGCTCGGAAAAATAAAACAGAGCGCGATGCAGACCAATTGACAACGGTATGCGTATGTTGTGAGGCGAAGTTCTCGTGCCAATGAATAAGCATCTCATCGCTGCGTAATCACATCATTCCGCAGCTTTCGTGTCAATCGCCGCACAAATATCATGACAACTCTCAACTATGCATGGCTCCCCGTGCGATCTGTACTCCAGAAACGGTACTGAGTGAGACTATTCGGAACTGTCGGAGCCATGCAGTCAGCGGCCACGTTCGGAGCTGTCGGAGCCGTGCAGTCAGCGGCCACGTTCGGAGCTGTCGGAGCCATGCAGTCAGCGGCCACGTTCGGAGCTGACGGAGCCATGCAGTCAGCGGCCACGTTCGGAGCTGTCGGAGCCGTCCAGTCAGCGGCCACGTTCGGAGCTGTCGGAGCCATGCAGTCGGCGGCCACGTTCGGAGCTGTCGGAGCCGTCCAGTCAGCGGCCACGTTCGGAGCTGTCGGAGCCATGCAGTCAGCGGCCACGTTCGGAACTGTCGGAGCCATGCAGTCAGTGGCCACGTTCGGAGCTGTCGGAGCCATGCAGTCAGCGGCCACGTTCGGAGCTGTCGGAGCCATGCAGTCAGCGGCCACGTTCGGAACTATCGGAGCCATGCAGTCAGCGGCCACGTTCGGAGCTGTCGGAGCCATGCAGTCAGCGGCCACGTTCGGAACTCCAATCACCAACCTGCTCCCATCCACTCGCCGGCCGCCCGCTGCGCCAGCAGCTGGGTGTTGCGGGCCGTTAGACTCTCCACAGTCTCCTGCAGCGCCTTGATGCGCGTGCGCAGGTGCGCGTTGTCCGTCTGCAGCATGTTGTTCTCGTGGTACATGTCGTTGACGGCCTCGGAGCCGTCCTCGGTCACCATCCGCTTCCCCTGAGGCGGAGGAGAAGTTGGAGAGCCGGCCGACGACGACGAACGCCCAACACTGCTCAAATGCCCCCCCCCCCCCCCCCAAACGCGGACTGAGAGAAGGGAGCCAGGGTCGGCGCCGCGCCAGCCGCGCCAGCCAGGCGGCCGCTTCTTCCGGCGCACCATCACACGTAAATGAAACTGCGTGATGATACAATGCATCCGCCAGATTTTGTGAAAGCCTCCGCCGTGTGCATGTCGTCACGCATCTCAAACACAAACTCATGTAGCTCGCACACTTTCTGATCCATATTTGGGTAGTTAGGCATTGCCACTAAATGTCTCCCTCCAACCCGGCGCCTATCCCCAGAGCTCAAAGCATAGAGCAGACCAAGTAATGAATTTTTGAGCTTTGTGTCTAGCTTTGGTCTCACCGCACCTGCCAAGCCCTGCATCCGGTATGACAAAACTACACATATGGCACACAGGATGCACCTGCATACGCGTACGTTAAGTTCCAACTACTGATCTCCAATCATACTTGCCTGCACACATTGGCCTCCAGCTGCAGCTGCTGATCCCACGCCGTACCTGTCTGTACTCCACGAGCTCCACAGGCAGTTGCTGATCTGACGCCGTACCCGTCTGTACTCCATGAGCTCAAGCTGCAGCCGCTGATCCCACGCCGTACCTGTCTATACTCCATGAGCTCCACCCGCGGTTGCTGATCTGACGCCGTACCCGTCTGCACTCCATGAGCTCCAGCTGCAGCCGCTGATCCCACGCCGTACCTGTCTGTACTCCATGAGCTCCACCTGTAGTTGCTGATCTGACGCCGTACCCGTCTGTACTCCATGAGCTCCAGCCGCAGCTGCTGATCATACGCCGTACCTGTCTATTCTCCATGAGCTCCAGCTGCAGCTGCTGATCTCACGCCGTACCTGTCTGTACTCCATGAGCTCCAGCTGCAGCTGCTGAATCTCCTGCCGCAGAAGGGCGATAGTGCGCGACGTCTTGTCCTGATTGATGGTGACGCGGTTTTTGATGTTTCGGGTCCGGTTGGCGTATTTGAGGGTGTTCAGGGTCTCCATGAAGTCCGAGTCGGACGGCGAGATGCAGGCGATCATTACCGTTCGGCTGTTACCTGCCCCACACATCGAATGACGTCAAATAACAGCTGCGTAATGTCAGTGGTAATCTCATTGTTGTTTTCGCACAGACGCGGTAAATAGGCAAAAACAGACGACCGACAAGTCCACGTCATCCCAATGCCGACATTCATTTCACTTTGTCTTGCTCCGACAACTTGCATAAAGTGACACATCCGGTGGTGAGACGTCACTGACACTACGACACTTTTTCGATCAAACTCTCCTTGTGACATACGGGCAGCACGCACCATTAAGCAGCAGCTTGCCACTGCCATGCCATGCCATGTCACTCAATGTCACAGCTACTCTACAAAGTAGCTGCACAACGCCGTCAAAACGGCGTTCAAGCTTCATCAGCCAATTCCTTAGAGCCACTGTACGAACATGTTGGCACTTCTATCTCCGCTGCGAAGCATTTCCGGCAATATTTCTCACATCCAAACGAATCGCGACGCCGCCACTCACAACCGAGCGGGTCTGATGACGTCACCGACCTCCGAGCGAGTCCTGCAGCAGCCTGGTCAGCTTGGAGTCGCGGTAGGGGATGTGCGAGACCCTGCGGGACTCGTCGCCCAGCGCCGAGATCACGTTACCCAGCGCCAGCTGAGGGCGGGCGGACGCACGCTCAGGCGCTAAACAACACCGCAGTCGTTAGGGGCGCGGCGAACCGATCACAAACGCGTGGGAACGGGCGCGGCAACGAGGCTTAACGCGTTTGTGCCTCAGCTGAGCTCCTCTCGAGGCATAATTATGACAGAACTCTTCAATTGGGTCGTATGAGGAATAGTCTGGTTTTCACTCTCGCTGTTTCCGATATATATATATATATATATATATATATATATATATATATATATATATACTGCGAGTCATAGCCGGCTGCCATCTGACTCCCGGCGTTTGAACCAGGAGGTGACTCCTCCAAGACCAGCCGGCACGGCTCCACAGCTCAGTTCACAGCTCCTCCACCTCTCCACGCAGCGGTGTCGACTGTGGAGTGTACGCTGTGGACCCGTGGACAGGCTGGCGCGCTGACGGCCGGCAGCGGCCGCTCACCAGGCCGCAGTTGATGGAGATGCCCTCCTTGGCGCGGTCACCGGTGGCGCCCGTTCGCTTCAAGCGCTCCGAGCCGGCCAAGTCGACGAAGTGAAACTTGGCCGAGAGCGTCTCGAACTCCATGGGAGCGTCGGCAGCCTGGCCGCCGGCCTCGGTCGGCTCCGGCTCCAGGAAGCCCTGCAGCGGAGAGCAGAGGTCACGCGTGCAGCACCCCGGGTCGCCGCCAAAGGTCGCGCGTCGCGGCACCGGACAGGACGGCAGATTAGACATCAGACGGCCCGCGGAGCCGGCCGCACCAATCAGCCGAGTTGGCCGGGCTTCCTCATGATTCGGTGCGGGACTTTGGCTCACTGCGTATTGATTGGCCCTGGTCCCGGCTTTATTCTCGAAATTCATTTCAGGTGACGCTCGGGCTTAAAGACGATAACGCTCAACGTATCGTAGTGATTTGATCCTCATCTGGTCTCTTGAACCGTAAAAACGCAACAGAACATTATGAACACCGGCGCGTGATAATCACATGATACTGTTTACGGGAAGTTGCAAAGTTCCGTGCGCACCGCTCATCCTGGCGGACACCTGGTGCGCTTAACGATCGTGCATACGCTCTGTAGCCCAACCAGCTGTATGACATTCCACCACAGACCATTGGAACATAACACCGGCCCTAGCTCTGGGGCGCGCTCCAGGGGGCCCAGTACTGCTGGTGGCGCGACTGCTGTATCTTTCACGCCATCGGCTCAAGCTGCGCGACACCATCGCACGGAGCGTGCGGAGGTGGCATGAGACGGACAGTGACTACACTATCTAGTGCGCTGCTTTGACGCGCTGTCAGATTTTAGCGCGGGCTCCTGCGCAACCGAGGCGTGGACTGGGGCGCGACTGTGCGGTTTCTCACGCTGTCGGCGCGCGCCACGCGCTGCTGTCGGATGGTGAGCGTGAAGATAGCGTGGCTGCGGCTGCTTTGGACGTTCATCTGGGTGCTGGCTGTGGTACGGCTCAGCGCGCCCACCCGCAGACACTTGAGGCACGCCTCGGCTGACGTCACGGCCCGTGACGTCACGCCTAGCGTGCAGATGCCGCCGCCGGCGTCCTCGTGGATCTTGATGTTGGACTTGCGGCCCTGCCGCGGACCAACACGGGTCACGTGATCCGATCAGACACAGAGTGGTCACGTGACGGCGGCGGCTGACTACGGTTGCGTGCCGCGGAACGTGCCTGCGATTGCCAAACCAAATGTCGCATTTGAGGAAATGGCGTCTAGAAAATTTGTACTCGACTCAGAGGAACAAAATGTCGCTGTAAAACACTACACACCGACACAAGCTATGGTTCGGGGAAATCGGGCATTCCAGCCCAAATGGGTTTCACGGAGTTCCACTCAGGTATCAAACTATCCAAAAGGTAATGTCGACAAAACACGGAAAGGTCTGTTGCGTTTGCTGACATCCGCGTGGTGGTTTGTGTTCCACAGATGCGGACATAAATTGCGTCCCTTGTGTTCACGATACGTCGCATTTACATACATAATGTAAGCTACATCACCTGCGACATAACACCACACATTTCCGGTGTCTACCGTGGCAATACGACAAAGCCCACCGTTACGCCAGGTATACTGGCGACTTGATCCCGTCGGAAGCTAACAATAACTCGGTTTCGCACTGCTCAACCATGCTCTCATTAGTCTTGTCCGCAGAAAACGAGGTGAAAATAACCCCACGCCATACTTCTGTCTCAATTTGTCACACACATTTTGTGCACTACCAAACATCACCGTGACCACGGGCGCCCTCTCGCGACCTCCGCAACCTTCCGCGACCTCCCGCGCCCTCGCGCGACCTCGCCAGCCGTCGCGGGCCCCCAGCTGACCCTGTTGGTGCCGGACTGGTCGAGCAGGTCGATGACCTCCTCGTTGTAGAGCTCCATGAACTGGGCGCTGACGGTGAAGTCTGGCGGCGGCTGACCGCTCTGGCGGGCCGCCTCCTGCCGCTGGCGCACGCCCGTGAACAGGTGGTCCACGGCGCGCGGCACGATGCCGGCCACCTCCGGACCCGCTTCCACCTCAAAGCCCGTGCCCATCGTGTAGGTCTTGCCGGAGCCCGTCTGCCGACAACGAGACGCGGTCAGCGGCGCGGCGGCTGCCGGACACTCCGTGGTCAGAGATCGTGTCGGCTGGAGTGGCGGCGGCGGCGGCGGCGGCGGCGGCGGCGCGTGCGGCAGGCGAACCGCGCACACCGCAGCTGAGGGTCAGGTGCGATGACGCTTGGCCGCGTCAGGTGGAGGTCTCACCACGCAGACGGTGGATACGGAAGCTGTATGTGTAGGGAGGGAGGGGAAGCTCCCCACCGACCTGAAAAATGAGGCTGAGGCACTGGCAAAGGAACGAGATAAAACGTTCGTTTGCTTCCAAACACAACAGAGATCCCACCGCCACAGCCGCAAAAGCGGCAGAATCGTATGTCACCATTTGTTGAGGAAACCTATACCAGGCATAGCAGAAGCAGTCTGCATTGGGTGCTGCAGCATTTACTTACGCACGAGAAAGATATCTTGCTTATTGGAGGTATGAATATAGGAATACTGCGCACCTTTCCTATGTCAATTCTTATCAATTGTATCAGCCGGTTCCAGTAAAACTATTGCAACTCACGAGCATAACCATAACCCTTAACAGTGACCTCTAGATTGGTCATGAGGAGCTCCAAATGTCAATGCAGAACGCTTCTGCTCTGCTTTGCTCTGCTTAAGCTCTTGGCTCGTGATCAGAGGTGCCACTTTCTAAAACTTTTGCTGGGGTGGGGGGGGGGGGGGGTGGGAGCTCAGCCAAAAGGGTTGGACTAGACTACCCCAAAGACTTGATTTCTCCCTCCCCGGATTTCGACCACTTGAATATGCGTCGTTAAGGTCAATTAAAAAAGTACCGTAAACTCCAAGTTCTTTTCCCGCGAAGGACTGAGTTTCTTCTTCAAGGAAATGTGAGATGCCCTTTTGTGAAAAGGTTAGAATGGGGTGTCATTCTCAGAAAAACAGCTCAGCAAATCTCTGTAAGACATCACTGATAACTACCGCTATTACTGGTGGTGTTGTTGGTCTTGTCTACACATTGCAGTCAATTGTTCTTTATACCAATCCAGGCATCGTCATTTGCAAAAAATGGCTAACATTTGCGGACTGGCTTGTCGTATAAAGGGACACAAATATTAGGCACCCACAGAATAATATTCGGCACGAAATTAACATGCTACTAACAGTAATGTGTTTTAGTACCTGCTACGTAGTACACCAGTAGTCAAGATAACTTTCTGCACTAATTTGGTGCAATATTCCTTATTGCCCATATGCATTGAGGAGGCTCAGAAGAGCATTGCGACAAGGGGAGGGACTGAAGTCAGCACGGGGGCTCAGCCCCCATCCCCGAAAGTATACCATGTGACGTCGCTGGACCTGATAATGGGTTGGGTCGACAAACTGAGCAACTTAATATCAGCCTCTCCTGGTGCCTCTTAGCTTCGTTCGGTGGGTTCTGTCATACTCTAGTGCTCTCGGCCGGACGCGTCACAACAGAGCACGAGGTTACGCCTACCACCTTCCTCTCTCGGGGAGATGCACACAACAGAATTAATGCTGCAGCCATCCTGCCTTAACCGCAGACCGCAATGCTCGCCCACAGGTGAGCAGCAGGCAGATACTGAACTGATAGCAGGCGAGGATCGGCCCAGGGTGCTCGGGTGGGACTGGGAGGCGGGGTTCCGAGACCGCTCCCTCCATACTGAACTGATAGCAGGCGGGGATCGGCCCAGGGTGCTCGGTTGGGACTGGGAGGCGGGGTTCCAGACCGCTACCTCCATACTGAACTGATAACAGGCGGGATCGGCCCAGGGTGCTCGCGTGGGACTGGGAGGCGGGGTCCCAGACCGCCCCCTCCGTGCTGAACTGATAGCAGGCGGCGATCGGCCAGGGTGCTCGGGTGGGACTGGAAGGCGGGGTCCCAGACCGCCCCCTCCATAGTACAGTGGAGGGCGACGGCAGTGTCCCAGCTGGACGAGGCACGCAGCGGGTGGGACACTACGCTAGGGGGATGAGGGGGCGCGTAGTACGGCACGATCACAGCCGTCCGTGTTGGCCGGGCCCGTGAACGGCAGCCTGCTGCATTCGGAGGCGCCACGCCGGCCAGTCCGCCCTGCGCCTAAGCTCACGACCCAGGCCGTGCCAGTCCGCCCTGCGCCTAAGCTGACGACCCAGACCGTGCCAGTCCGCCCTGCGCCTAAGCTGACGACCCAGGCCGTGCCAGTCCGCCCTGCGCCTAAGCTCACGACCCAGGTCGTGCCAGTCCGCCCTGCGCCTAAGGTGACGACCCAGGCCGTGCCAGTCCGCCCTGCGCCTAAGGTGACGACCCAGGCCGTGCCAGTCCACCCTGCGCCTGAAGGTGACGAACCAGGCCGTCCTAGTCCGCCCTGCACCTAAGGTGACGACCCAGACTGTGCCAGTGGCGCCCCAACACCAATCTTCCCGCCGGCGTCAAGCGACCTCTCTCTGAAATGTCGGCAGGACCATCGTCAAGGGGCAAATGCGCACGCAACAGTTCTCTTGAGAGATCGCGATCGCTGCGGGTTACTGCACATCAGAACCGACCCACCGCAGCCACGCACAGAAATGAGCGGCTACCACAGTGATGAGCAGTCCATCACCCAATGGTGCGTCTAACAGAGGTCAGACGTAGTTTGCGGGTGACCTTCCGTGCGCGTCCCGGACCAATCAGCGCGTCGCGTGCAGGGGGCCAGCGTACTCCGGACGCCGTCAACGAACACCGGCACGGAACTGATGTATTGACCAATCAGGATGAGGTTCGACGCACACGCGGCTCTTCCAGCCTTCTGCAAACAGCTGGGCGCCACGCTAAACCGGGCCCGTCATCCAGCGGATGTCCGGACAGGAAAATGGGAAGACGCACTTCCGACAGCGTGGCATGCACTCGATTGCTCAATACCTTAACGTGCCGAGGCTGTCCCAAAGTGGCGACAAGACAAATATGCTAATTTCATGACCCTAGAACAATAACAAGCCTTCGAGAGGAAGGCCACGACACAAAGGCATTTCGCCAAACATACATGCCACACCGAACAATAAAAGGCGGTAACTCCTGGCATCAGTGGCATCTGGGGTACCAGGAGAAACGCTAATGACATTTCAGATACGTCCACGGCGCATTTCTAAAGCCCTCCAACGTTATCATTTCACAACGTAGAAACCGACTCGATGCGACAGCGACTTCCACTTTCAAGGCGCAATCAATCGTTCTGATTCGCCATGCAATCACGGCGCTAATGCATACTGAATGGCGCTGGTCTGGCCGCGAGCACGCGGCCTAGGCTCCACTGGCCTGTCCCGTCCCGTCGCCAGGCACCCACTCTCCCCAATCCGTCTCCATTACGTCATGAAGACGTGTTGGGCCCGTGCGTGGGCGTCGAGACAGGTGTCCGGACATTATCCACCTAGCAAACAAACCGGGCGGTCGTTGCTAGTGCGGTAAAGCTCAGGGTTTGGGTGGGTGGCGTGCTGTTGCTCCCGCCGGCTGCAGTCTACCTCGCCAGTCGCCAACCAGCGGCGACGGCGCCACCAACTGGCGCGAGGCCACGTGGTTTACGAGATGCTTTGAACCGGCTCACGCCAGGCTGCGCAACGGCACGCCATATTGGACCGACATGGGCCACCTTTTGAGGCCGTTGGAAGGCGAGTATGGAGGGAGCAAACACCGAAAACTGAAGCCCGTTCCACGTCATGCCACCGGCCTTCTGTATGAGCACTGAGACGGTTGAACAATGTGCGTGCGTTATGAATCTAAAAGGCTATGGCAGTTACGGGCAATTGTACTGAACCGCTGTAGGCGTTATGGGCCTAAAATGCTGCGGAAATTAAGTGCTGTATGAGGCTCCATTAGGTCCTCAGCTGCAGCTAAGGCCCTAACAGCACGCATCAAAGAAAACGGCATCGACTTCGACTAGCTGCCATTTTAAAACCTTCCAAACTTCCCGACCCGAGTTATCTACCCTCTAGAAAACCGTCTGTCAAAAGCGCGGCGCCCCCTAACCGTCAAGCCCAACCGCCGCCTGAAGGCCTGGTCGCGGCCCCTGCGGCGGCGCTCGGGTCAGCTCAGAGGTCAGCGCGAACGCCGCCGGATCAATAGGCGCCGCCAGACGGCGAGGCGGCGCCGGCGGCGCGGCCCCGCGACAGACGGCGTCTGATTCAGCTGAAGTGGCCGGCGGGTCTGAGCTATCAGTTCGCGGTGAGCGGGAGCGGGGTGCTCAATGCTCAGGAGGCGTATGGATATTGTCGTTGCAGACCAGTGAAAGTTTCTAAAAAGCCCGGCTTTAAACGAGGACCAAAAACGCAAAACAGCCTTCTGCGACACCTAAATGCCCCAGCAGAGCCGGAATTACAACGTTGCATCGCAACCAAGTATGCAGCAGGGCGTGACCCCAAGCGCTGGAGTGCGCATGCCACACCACAACGTTGCCGTGCATGGCATAATGCACTCGAGGCACGCCCCTTCCCCCTCCCCCCCCTGACAAGGTGGCGTGACGGGGCAGCCGGTGCCCACGCGCCTCAACACGCAGCGCCGATGCTGAGCGACAGCGGCGGAACAAACAGTGAGCACGCACAAACTGCCGGACGGCCGTGTCAACACGCCGACGCCTTGACAAACAGCCGGCCAGACGGGCCCGGTCTGCGCGCCTCACGCGCAGCCAGTGCGAGCCCTTACATGGCCTTGGTGCGAGGTGTCGCGGTCTGGCTCGAGCCTTCCGTCCGGTCCAGCAGGACGGAAGACTGAAGCGCAGACCCGACCAGGAGTACGGCAGCGGCACCGGGGCCTCTCGATCCCCGGCACAGTGGGCTCGGGCCTCTCGTGGGCTCGGGCCTCTCTCCCTCTGTACATCTAGTGTCCAATCAGGAAGCGGACTCCAGCCGTCAACCAATCAGCAGCGGCCTCCCGCTCACAACGCAGGCGCGTATGGCGAGAGTGCATGAGTACGGGCTGGTTTGACGAGGCGACCCGTTCGGACAGCCGACGGGCGCTGTTCTCCGACGCTCGTCTCATTCCCGACCGCCGGCGTGGCACCGGTCCCAGGCGCCGGCTGGCTCCCGGCACGAGCGGGGTCAAACAAACACCGGGGTCACACCCCGGGCTCACGCTCGCTGCACAGCGTGCTGCGCTGTTGACCCGCTCACACAGGTGTGGGAGCGAGGCGAGGGGAGATGGCGCCACAGCTATTTCGGTCGGTCATGGTGAGACTGATAACATTCTGTTCCCATCCTCTGTAAGTATGAGCACCTATATGTGAACCACATCAGCCAAAGCTTACCATGGCCGTCTTTTACTAGGCTGACAGGCCAGACAGTAGTATCAGCCAACTTGGACCCAGATCGGTCAAACTCACCAGCGACCTGGGTCAGACTCAAACACCGAGGGTCAGGCCCATCAGCGACCTAGATCAGACTCACATACCGCTGGTCAGACCCACCAGCGACCTCGGTCAGACTAAAAGGGTTAGACCCACCAGCGGCCTGGGCCAGACTCACATCCCGCTGGTTAAACCCACGCAAAGGCACTGAAAGCTCTAACTGAAGCTCTAACAGATCACTAAACGACACTGAAAGATCTCAATGGTAACACGGTGTTCAGGTCCACATCCAGGCCGACCCAGCCCGGCACGTTACAGATCAGATTCAAAAGCCAGCTGGGCCAGACCAACGTACGGCGGGCGCTGCCCATTCCACCACACACTGCACGAATCGGCCTGGTCAGAGCCGCAGGCCAGCCGGGATACGCCGGCACACGGCCGGCGCGACTTATGCACCGGCAGGGTGCGTCCCCATGCCAGACGGATCGGCCCCACATGGGTTGGGTGGCCCGTATGGGCCCGACCTATCCACTAGCCGGGTGCGCCCCAATACGGGCCAGATCAGCCCCCCCCCATGGGGTTGGTGGGCGCCCATGTGGCCGGTCTGCCCTACACATGTCGGATCTGCCGCCCCATGCGGGCCGGCTCGCACTACATGGACGGCCCGCGGGCGGCGGTTGAACCCGGCCCCAGCGGCGTCGGCGGCCGAGGGAATCAATACGCCAGCCGCCGGGCCGGCGGCCGCCGGGCACCCTCCAGACGGCTGCGGCGGAAGGTCACGGACGGTCCAGACGGACCGGTCTGCCGCGACGCTCAGGCCAGCAGCCAGACTGGTGGTGGGACAGAGAGGACCGCATGACGGTGATCGGACCGGTGACCGGGACCCTGGGCGTCCCAGTCGGTCCAGACACGCCAGGCAGACTGACAGCCGGTCCATGTGCAGCAGGCAGACTGTTAACCAGTTCGGACAGATCACTCAGACTGGAAACCAGTCCAAGAAGATCACTCAGACTTGTACCTATTTCAAACAGACCGGGCAGACTGGTGACCAGTCCACAAAGACCAGACAGACTGGTAGCCATTCCAGACAGACCGGGCAGACTGTCAGCCAGTCCAAACAGAGCGCACATACTGGTAGCCAGCCCAGACATACCAGACCGGCTGGCAGCCAGTCCAGACAGACCAGGCAGACCAATGGCCAATCCAGTCAGACCAATCTAACTGTATTCCGCCAGGCCCTCGGACAGTGGAGGCCAGCCAGAATGGCGATGGGTGCGGTGCGATGGCTCTGGTCGCACGATCATGGGGCACAGAAATCTGGTAACTTATTGCACAAAAGAGAACGAGCGGTGGTCAGAGCCAGCAGGCCTTGAACCCAAGTCATCACATCAGCACACGTTTTACTATATGTTGCCAGACATGCGATACCTGCTTTAAACAGTGTTCCTGCCGCACCAAGTTTGTCATCAGCGATAATCAAGCATCCGTTTTCGGTTGAGCGGCTGGCCAACGTTCGTCCTCACCTGTCCATAGGCCAGGATGGTGGCGTTGTAGCCCTCGAAGCAGCCCTCGATCAGCTGCTCGGTGCACTGGCTGTAGACGTCCTGCTGCTCCGAGTCCATGTCGAACACGTAGTCGTATGTGAAGGCCTTGTCGGAGCCGAGCCAGACTTGTGGCTCGCCCGGCGTCACCGAGGTACACACCCGGCACATGTCGATCACCTCACGTGAAATCAGGGGACGCACCCTGCAAGGACACCAGATGGCACTGAGCGGGTAGGGACGGTACAGCAAGGAGGGCAGGGGACGCACCCTGCAAGGACACCAAATGGCGCTGAGCGGATAGGGACGGTACAGCGAGGAGGGCAGGGGACGCACCCTGCAAGGACACCAGATGGCACTGAGCGGGTAGGGACGGTACAGCGAGGAGGGCAGGGGACACACCCTGCAAGGACACCAGATGGCACTGAGCGGGTACGGACGGTACAGGGGGGAGGGCAGGGGACGCACCCTGCAAGGACACCAAATGGCGCTGAGCGGGTAGGGACGGTACAGCGAGGAGGGCAGGGGACGCACCCTGCAAGGACACCAGATGGCACTGAGCGGGTAGGGACGATACAGCGAGGAGGGCAGGGGACGCACCCTGCAAGGACACCAGATGGCACTGAGCGGGTAGGGACGGTACAGGGGGGAGGGCAGGGGACGCACCCTGCAAGGACACCAAATGGCGCTGAGCGGGTAGGGAAGGTACAGGGGGGAGGGCAGGGGACGCACCCTGCAAGGACACCAGATGGCACTGAGCGGGTAGGGACGGTACAGCGAGGAGGACAGGAGACGCACCCTGCAAGGACACCAAATGGCGCTGAGCGGGTAGGGAAGGTACAGGGGGAGGGCAGGGGACGCACCCTCCAAAAACGCCAAATGGCACTGAACGGCTGGAGATGAAGCAATATTGAGCGGCTGGAGGTGGCGTAGCGCAGAGGGCGAGGCGCTCACCCACGACGCAAGGAGTCGTTGACCAGCCACCAACGAGTCAGACTGGAACCAGTTCCAGTCTCACTGACGCCACGGACCAGTGTGGCCACAGGATCAGCGTGAAAGGTCGTGGCGCGAGATGGTCAGAGATGTTGAACACGTCATTAACTATCCAAGATGAACATGATTAGAATCGGACGGACACAAACAGGAAAGCGTAAACCATCCCCCAAAACAAAGACAAAACAAAACAAAACAAAGCATGTACATACGAGCAAACAACTCAGCGTCCATTCATTGCAAAGCAACATGGCAAACAGGCACGAACGCCACAATGGGACACGTGGTTCGGTGTTTACCATTCCAAGTGGAACGGCATATTGTGCCACGTCTTATCTTGCGAGGAGATATTGATATGACATTGCTCCAGACATACAACAATTTAAGGAACGCTTCTGTCCACCTGGTACGTCCTGGAATGTGAATTTTCTTCACCGTCGTACGGCGACGACTAGAAAACAAATGCAGGACCAGTTGATGGAACGGGATAGCCGTATTCCTTTCTCCATACGATTAAAGGCGGTGCCGGATCTCAAATAAGAATTCGTTCTCTTAGAATCGTCGCAGTATCTAGTTATGGTGTACCGAATATTTCTTAACAGGTAAGCGATGCGCACCAGCTCGTTTTCATTCATGCCGCAGTTTTGCGGTTTTCACGATCGGCTATAAGGAAAGGCCACCCGCGACCCCTTGTCGGACACCGCCGAACACGCATCTATGCGAATGTATGGATGCGTGCCTGTAGCGGTGAATGCTATACATTCATACGCTCTTTGGAAAACATCCCATGACGTTCACGTCCAGAGCAGTATCTCCGGTCCGGAAACAGCACGGCACGCACAGGAGGCGTGGCGGAAGCTTAGGCTGGCCACCCATACGTGACTCATCGTCCTTATCTGTGGCCTTGTGGGCGTAACCTCGACCGGTGATCTGAAGTGTCAATCATTGATAAACTACAGCATGGGAGCCTCGAAAGGCGCCGCCCGCTGACAATGTCGGCAGACCCAACTTCTATCCTCACCCAATCGCAAATCCAGCATCCAGTCTTAGAGCGGGAAAAACCTTAATTTTTCGCGTCATCCGGTAGCATTGTCGGCAAAAAAGCAATTTCCACCGGCATGGGCAAGAAGCATAACCATGTCACACCTTACCATCCCAGGACAGTCAGTGCTATTGCTGGACTGTTTTTGCTTCACTGTCCTGGGTGCTACACGTCTCAGCAAAATACAAGCGCCGTCGCTAAAAAATTGATTTAACAACACTAGCCAAATCTGTCCCGGCATTTTTTCGACGTCCTAATGCGTGAGCATCACCCGAACCCGGCCCCTGTGGACGGCCTGGGCCCTGAACAGCTGGTAGCCGCTCAGACACACAGGTCAGTTACCATGGGAGACGGCGCAGCTGGTGGCGACACGCCGCCGAGCGGCTAGCGCGCAGGACGGCGGGCGCACCGGCGCAAGGAACAAGCGGCGGCCGGCTGACCTGCAGTGATATGGGGACGTGGCGAAACCAGAAGAAAACAAAGCTGCCACTGCTGGCATCTCGTAAGCACACGAAACAATAGTTTTTTTGCTGAGGACCTTGCCGTATGTATCAAGTGATCCCGTGCTGTTCAATCACACTTGATGTTCAATCAGGGTTGATTGATTGAACACATGATTAGCTCATGCACACGACATGGTCCTCAGCATCAAATTATCGATTCGTTGGCATTAATTATTTCAGCATTGTGGAAAGCTACACGGATTGGCGAAACACCATGCACTCAATTCTGCATTCAGATCAGGACAAGCCACAACGTTATCTCACAACTACAAGGTCGTCAAACCAACCATTTTTTGATGAAGCCAGCTGATTACCGCATCTGAGACGCCAGCTGACTGCGCGCGGTATCTCTCATACCAGTTTAGACATCCAGAACTATCGTACCATCAGCGGCACGGCGCGGCGCCGCCCTGTGCGGAGCTCTGTCAGAGATCACTCATCCCGTCTCTCGCGCCCAGCTCCGCGCGGCGGGACGCGCCGTGATCTCCGATGACAACGCTCTGCCATCCGGCCCGTTGATTTGGCCTTGCGATGTACGGCGCGCTGGTGAGGAAGCCGTGATGAGCCCACGGCTAGACTGAGGCTATGACGATTTGCGCCTGTAGCAGCCGTGCCAACAATGCTGCTGGCACGCCGTCCGCTTTCTTTGGTCCGGTTCAGCGCGCCTCGGGGTTGTCATCTATCGTCGGAGCCGCACCGCGTGCTCGGTCCGGAGTCGGCCTCGCCGAACAAGCTGACGACGCTACCCTGCGCGTCGCCGTTTCTTGGCCGTGTATGCCTAGACATATCTAGCGCCACCAGCCTGGCACCTCGGACTCGCTTGAAAAGCTGATCAGCGAACAGCGATGAGCACCCGAGCGTTGGAATGCATGTGAGTGTGGGCAACTCTCCATCTCCTGATATTTACCCTTTTGCATCATACCAGGACGGACGCTCAGTAGTCTGCGTGTTCGGCAGAGGGCGACGCGCCGCTTATTTACCTGGAGGTGGGGGCGCCCTCAGCGGAGCGTGTCTCAGGAGCCCCGTACTCTGCTCTGACTCGGCGGCAGGAAACCAGGAGCGTGTCTCGGGAGTATCACACCCTGGTCTGACCCGGCAACAGGAGACCAGAAGACCAGGAAACCACGAGCCGACACCGCCGCTGGTCAGCGCTCGAGCCAGAGGCATCGGTGGGCACCATCGACGGGCTTGCGCCGTTAAAGTAGAAGTTAACAGACAAAAGGGCTTCAATAAGTAAGAATACCGAGTCCAGAGGGGAAAACACCCATCGCTAAATGCAACACGTTCAGAGGTTAACACAATACCGTTATGCACCTTACACCAGGATAATGAGCTGAAGCTGTTAGAGTGACGAACATCCTACACAAAGCACATATGTAAGTAGTATTTTGGGTTCGCTCTTGGCGAGTGCACATTACAAGAACCACTCAGCCAATGCCATTGAAGGCAAATGTGCTGCGTACATCGCGCTTCAGTGATGCCACCCTTTCTTCCGAACGCACGGTGCAAGAGGCACGCTCACAATTACTGATTGCAAGATCCGTGCTTTACGACCTGCAGCAGCGGGGCCATAGGACCACCGAATCTAACCTGGTGTTCTTTATGGATGGTATCGATATGTATTAACCTATCCCTACTCACTACGTTTGGGTTTCTATAGTAAGCCATTTTGAAATATAACACACCGATAATGTTTATGCCTGGACATATTTTCTGACAAACTGGACCGGTTTAAATCGGGAACTTCTGAAAAACGCCGGTTGGCGGGCGGATCAAATGAAAACTGGTGAATTAGGTCGGGTTGGACAGGCGAAATTCAATTTGCGAAGAGTTATGATCGCAAAGCCCAGGCCGGATAAGGTGTACCAATCAGCGTCCAGCGCTGTCGTGCCATACGGCTCGAGCGCCTACGAGTGCAGAATCCGATCAGCATATTGGGAATCAGGGGTCCGCATACCTACGGCTGTTTCTTCTCTTCGCGCAACTTTTGCTTGCTCGCTCATCGCGATCGCTAGTATCGGTGCGTGGGATTCGTTTGGAGTTCCATACATAAATTGGACTGGTATTCAGGGTTCGGATAAGTGGTTACTCATCGCTTACGCATTCAACGATTTCCGGCCGCGTCACTTTGATTGCGTGAAAGCCGTGTGATGTTCCTAGGCGTTCTCTCTCGGTATGTGGGTCTCGTTAACGCCGCAACGATATCGCTTCTTACAGTTTCCATGAAACTATTCGCATCTATCAATACACGTTTCAATACGTGACCGAAAAGAAGTTCTTGAGGAGTAATGTTGATCTGGGATTAAGAGCGCGTCGACATCAAAGGTCATATTGCTCCCATTCCTCGAAGTTCCGACGAAGGTATCATCGGTATCAGGTTAAAAGCTATAGACGACTACTTTCATCATCTGACGAATACAGCAGATACGCCCCACCCCCACCCCAACCGCACGCACATATATGACACGCTCCCAACCCACAACAAGAATGTAATCCCTGCGCGCGCCTATCACTCGCTCAGCCACCACCTGGTGACCCCTCCCCCTCTCCCGGCCATCCCGTGTCACCGGGACGTCGAGCGCCCCAGCCGACCGCCTCTGACGCCGGCGCTTAACACCACTGGTGCTGCGGCTTGGTTGCCGGCGGCACCACACGTGACAGCGGAGG